GCTTATTCATTGAAAGGCTGTTGCCTCACTCAAAGTGAGAACCTGAAAAGATCTTAGCTTAAAAGGGCCAGGGTCTCCAGTCTTCCTGATGAATTTCTGGCTACTGGATCCAGGTGACTTTCGAGAAGAAAGTGAGGCTGGTGACTTCCCACAGCCCTCCCTCACTCGAATCAAAGCCAATTTGCAAGTCATATCATCATCTCCCTGATGTCATGGCCCTCTTCGAGAACTAAGGACAAACACAGCAACCACAACCAGTGTCCTTATCTGTAAAATGAACCGGAGAAGGAAATGGCAAACCGTTCTAGTACCTTTGCTGAGAAAATCTGGACATGACTGAAAAATCACTAAACAACAACAATAGGAGTTTGCAATAAGGCCGTTTAGATATAGCCCCAGTTTGCATTTCGATAATAGTGATGATTCTGAAATTCTGAAGGATATGCCAAGTACTTTAGCATTTGAGTCATGGCTAAATGCAAAATCAGAGAATCATAGATCTAGAGAAAGAAGGGACCCCAGAGGCCATCTAGACAAACCCATTCATGATCTAGGAATTTTGTAGTAAGGGAACCCTACAAATAGGGAATGTAAAAATGTAAGTAGCTGATACTAGGCATCCCTGAATCCAACAATGGACTCAAATATCCTCTTGTGGTTATGGTTCCAATACTATGTATAGCAGATAAGGAATCTTACATACAATATATCAAATTTCATGAAATTCTGTAGAGAGAGAGGAGACCTTTCCTTTATATCCTTTCTTTAATCACCAGTCACCATACTCCTATATACTTATCTCTCTGATTTGAGTGCAGGGAATATCTTTTGTTATTGTATCCCTAGCACTTAGCACAATGATTGGCACATGGTAAACACTTAAGAAATGCTTTTTCATTCATTCATTTAAGTTTTTATTGAACATTCATTGTGGGTAAGTACTATTATGATAACTCGTGTGTGTGTGGTGAATAAAATTATCAATGATACAGAGTCCCCTGCCCTTAAAAGCCTATGGTCTAGTGAAGAACATAAGCCCTAAACATATGAAAAAGATAAATAAGATGACAACATGGTAGCTATAACATGTTAGCTACATGTAATGTATTACATAGAGTGCTGAAGTACAGAGGACAAGGAGACCAGGTCTGTGTCTATCAAGCATCTATTTATTTCTCTATTCACTATCAACCTCCCAAGTGGTGCTTTGGGACAATGCAGCAGTACTAATAGACAACAGTTCCCACCCTACTCCACCTCCCACCAAGGGAAGAAAGCAATACAGAACCAAGTCATCTTTGTATACTGCTCCTTTCATAGGAATTATTCCTGGAAAATTGATTTAGCTGTGTTGTAAAAATCCCTGGTGTTAGATGATGTTTCTTTCTCAATTTTATTGATTGAAAGACTCAAGAACCAAGACATTTGTGTGAGAAGCACTGAAAAATCAGTGCCTCAAAAGAAAAGTACTTAGTCAAAACAAAGACGGCCAAAATGTTCTGTTTTCCAGGATCTAATTTAATTATGATTGGTATGAGGAATTTGATGTTGACAGCTAAGAAATCTTAAAACATGTATGTTTTTGATGACAAAAGGACAATTGTCTGTTGACCACCTGTGCCTTGGCTGAAAGAAATATAGATTCTATTTCTCACCATATAAAGACTCAATATAAAAATGAGTCCTTTTATCCAAGAGACTGCTTTGGAGCAGTAGTGTTGGCCATCACTAGAACTCAAAGTGGGTAGGAGAAGAGCCTTCACAAGAAGACTTCAGAATCAGAACTGCCATTTGAGAGTTAGAAGGGCAAGTTGGAAGGGGGAAAAAATCTGCATGGAAAAATTGTATGGAGGAAAAACTCTACCCTTCCCTTTCCTTGCATTGCAATCTATTTCTTGAGCAGTGGAAATTCCTCAGAGTCTAGCCAATGAAACAAGATGGAAAGGTCCTGAAGATCTCAGGATTATTATCTTTTAATACTTCCCTAGAAGTCTATAAGGGAATGGAATGAGTGCAGCAGCTTGCCAGCAACCTAATTCAACAGTAGAGTGGAAAGGTCCAGAAGAGGAGACATTTTGCCAAGCAGTGATTTGTGGTACAGACACTTTTTTCAAAAGGACACGAAGGACTTCAAAGTTAATATTGTAGAGCTGTGAGTTGCCATAGTCACATGTATTCTTTTCTCATGTGCTTTTATGTCATGGTTTTATAAATTTCTGCTCATTGTCCTCCATGGATACTGTTTGACTTGTTGAGAAAGTAGGTCCCAGTTTTAGTAATGGAATATTATGTTTAATTATTCTTGTATTGCTTTGTTTTTTTTTAAATTTTTTAACATTTTTATTTAAAGTTTTGAGTTCCAAATTCTATCCCATTCTCTCTTCCTCTCCTGCCCGCTCCCCGAGTTGGTAAGCAATCAGATATAGGTTATGCATGTGAAATTATGTAAAATATTTCCAAATTAGTCATTTTGTACAAGAAGACTCAAACAAAAGAAAGAAATGAAAGAAAGTGAAAAATAGCATGCTTCACTCTGTATTCAGTCAATATAAGATCTTTCTCTGATGGATAGTATGCTTCATCATTAGTCTTTTGGGATTCTCTTGATTCATTGTGTTGCTGAGAATAGTTAAGACATTCATAGTTCTTCATCGAAGAGTATCACTGTTACTATGTACCATGTTCTCCTGGTTCTGTCCACTTCACTATACATCAATTCATATAAGCCTTTCCAGGTTTTTCTGAAACCATCTTGCTTGTCATTTCGTACAGCACAATGATATTCCATTACAATCATATGCCACAGCTTGTTTAGCCATTCCCCAATTGATGGGCAGCCCTTTGATTTCTAATTCTTAGCCATCACAAAAAGAGCTGCTATACATATTTTTGTACAAATAAGTCCTTTACCCCCCCCCCCTTCTTTTGGATGTCTTTGGAATATAGACCTAGCAGTGATATTGCTGGATCAAAGGTTATGCACACTTTTGGCATAGTTCCAAATTGCTCTCCATAAATCAGTTCCCAACTTTACCAACAGTACATTAGTGTCCCAGTTTCCCCACATCCCCTCCAATATCCAACATTTGTTACTTTCTATTGAATAAATCTATTTTTTTTTAATTCCAAGTTCATGGTATCATTTCCACTGATCTGTTAAATGTGAAGTATATCAGTGGGGGTTCATGAGCTACAACTATGAGTAATAGATTTACAGTTTCCTCTGAAGCTAATCTGTCCCTAGGACCCAGAGATACTGAGTTGTAATAGCATGACCTATTGTTCTGGGAAACCCAACCTGCCCACACAGAATCCTGGAATGGAGGGAGTTTTTGAAAGAGTGGTATAATAGTGAAATCCAAAGAAGATTGTAGAACCAATGATTCTATTTGCTGAAAGAAAACTTACAAGATTGCCTTGTTGAAGCCTTTGCCTCTGTTGTGGTGCAGTGTAGAGGTAAAAAGGACGGCCCTTGGTGTCATGTAGACCTGGCTTCAAGGACTGGCTCTGCCCTATTCAAACTATGTGAGCTCTGAGCAGATCCCTTAACCTCTCAGTGTCCCAGATGACTCTCTGAAGCTATACAAAACAGAAGAGTTGCTAATATGTTTCTGTAGTGGAAGTCATCTACACTCTTCTCTTTATACCCTCCCCCCTCCCTCCCCAAAAAAAATTACAGATAATACTACTGAAACATTTAGAGATTAAATAATTTACCCAAAGGCACAAAGTGATGTGTAGAATGTGGACTACATATTGAATTGAAGCTACAGTGTAATGAAGCTAAAAGAGGCACTAAATTTTAGAACACAAGGTTAGAAATGGAGCACTACTTCACGTATGACCTTGAGCAAGCCACCTCATTTCTCTGGGCCTCAGTTTCTTCAAGTATAAAATGCGAAAATTATAGCATATTCTCTCTAAAGCCAATATTCGCAACTCTAAACCCTGCAATTCTATGATTCCATGACTGTATTTATTGTACAGTTAGTGTGTGCAAGGAACGGGGAGGTGTTGGAACAATGATAAAGATGACATGGCCCATGATTTCAAGAAGCTTACAATCTAATAGGGACTGTGGGACACATTCTGAAATAAACACAAAAAGATTAATTTTTGTATATATTTAAGACAAAGCACTGTACAATAAGAATTCAAAGGAGAAATTACTTTGCTTTCAGGGTTGTATGGCTCAATGAATGCTTCACGGAGGGGGCTGAAAGAAATTATGATTAAATAAGTAATTGTTAATATTGAGAAGACCCGGATTTTTTCCCTTCCTTGGTCCTCATTCTCTACCACGCCAAGACAGCAACTGGAGGATATCCTTGATGGATGACATTGACCAAATCCCCAAAGCACATACCTTTCTATCCTGGGTAGGAGTTGTTGCCCCACCCAACTAGAGAACCTTACAAAAAATTTAGTCTAAGGTGAATTCCAGCCCATTGTGTTCCATTTAGCCAGGTCTGACCACAGATAGACACCCTTTTTTTGGTCTAGATTGCTCTAGGAGTGGGTAGTCTACATATGAGATAAGTCTCTTAGACCAAGACTGAATGGTTCCCCAGACTTTGATTAGAATAAGCCCACCTCTCATTATAATATTCATTCTCTCGTTACTTGTTAACCAATCAGAGATGATTGCCACCCTCAGGAACACCCACTCTTCCAAGGGCATATAAGGAGTTCCATGAGGGGTCTTTGGCATTTAAGAGTTCCACTGGCCCTTTTTATTAATTATTGCTAGCATGACTAATAAAATGATCAATTACTAAGAAACTGTGTCTCTCAAACTGTTTTTTATGTGATAGGGTTAATATTTAAGTTGAGGATTGGAGGATAGGAAGGTTTTCAGTAAGTGGAGATGGGGTCAGGGAAAACATTGAAGGTACAAGAGATGATGTGAGCCAATACAGGGAAGCCCCAAAGCCTGATATACATTGCCCTCTTTGCCTGGAGCACATAGGGGAGGAGAGGGTGAAATAAAGCTAGTTTACCTTATAACAAGTACTCTTCTGCCATATTGGGGATGGTCTTAGAATATGCTGCCCTCCTCCTTGCTCTGGAAGATTCATAGATTCATTTGCACCTAGCAAAAAAGAGAGGAAAAACAGGAAGAGAGGAGAAAAGAAACACCATTATAGAGGATTTGGGGAAGAGGTAACTATAGGGAATGATTTATGATTCTAAGAAAGGAAGGTTCTCATGGAAGGTAGGGTGTAAGCACCTAAGGAATCTGTGCTCCTAACATTCAGCCCATAATGCGTCTGCATCAGATACGACCCAAAGTGAATTGGTTCAGTGTTTTTGGATCCTCATCTCTACAGTAATGAGCAGTGAGATACTCTTCTCCTATAAAGACATCTTCTCCAAAGACAGGCTCTTGCATGTTTCACCAGGAGGAGATATTATCATCTCCACCACCGCGTATTTGTATATTAACAAATTCTTAAGTCTGCAAAGGACTAGGTCTACCCATTTAGTTTATCAAAGGGAATTCCATTTCCTCATTGACTGTAAGCAGCTAAGCCCTTGAAGCATTCAGTCAATACACATCTGAGGAAAGAACAAAGACAGCATCTGAGAGGCAGATTAGTAAATTACCTGCTTTCAAAATCCAAATAGAACTGCACAAAGACAATTCTACCTATTTGCTAGTAACTCAACAAAGGAGACCTAAGTAAATATCCATATCCAGGCTGTGGAGATGCTGAACACACTGAAGGTCAGGAAAAATGAATAATCAAATATGACTCATTTTAATGAAAACAGTTAATAGATGACCAATAAAATAATGAAATAACTCAGAGGCTTATATGTAATTCCTACTCTCTGTGGCTAGAGGTAAATAGATGGATTTGGAATGGATCCTATTATTTGGACCAATCCCTTAATAATAAAGAGCTTTTACATGACTCTTTAATAAGGATGATACTTCATATTTATTTAAGTTTTCACATTGCAAGGCACCTTAAAAGCATTATCTCAATTAATCTTCTCTTCTTCCCTGTGTGGTAGGTAGTATAAATGTTATCATCCCTTATCTGATGCTTATGAGCCTTGTGACCCTTCCCTTAACCTCTCCAAGTGTTGGTTTCCTTAACTGTAAAATGGAGATAATAATATCTACACTACCTACTTCAGAGGATGGTTGGCAGGCCCAAATGAAATAATGTTTATAAAATTACTTTGCAGATTTTAAAGTGTTTTTGCATAGAATCATAGCATTGTTATCCTAATTTTTCTGAATAAGGAAATTGGGCCTCAGAGAAGTTAAGAGATTTACTTAGGGTTGCACAGCCAATAAGTGATAGGGGTGGAATGATATTTCTAATTTACCAGGACTAAACAGATAATAGATTACAAAATTAGGGTTCAAACCCAGAACTTCTGGCTCCAAGCTTGGTGCACTTTCCACTGAGCCCTCTGCCTCCAAATGGAAGGAAGCCCAGATGATAACTCAAGTTAAAATTTAAAGCACAATGACACTGGCTGTCTTTGCAGATACAGAAATGAGGTTCATAGTAGGGTTTAAAGGAGGGTAGCAAACAGTGAAATGATGCCCTAGGAATTTTGGGGAGGCTTTTTCCAACCTCTCCCCTAGGGCTAAGCCACAACTTAAGATGTCTAAGACAAGCAGAATTGAAGAGCTAGACAGGATTGTACAACTCCATGATTATACAGATCTACTTTAGGGGCTCTCCAAAATTTTATCAGGGGTCAGTCCAATGATACACCTGCCTAGCTGCTGATCTGTGTTTTGGTTTCTAAACTATAGGATCAGGCAGCAGTCTTACTGTTAGGATTGTAAGCTTCTTGAGAACAGGGATGTTTCATAGATATCACTTCATATCCTTAGAAGGTATTTGACTTCAATAAATGCTTGTGCAAGGAAAAGGGGAAAATCCACAAATCAATCAACAAATATTCATTAAGCTCATACCATGTGCCAGGCACCATTCAAAACCTTGGGAATGAATGAAACAACCCCTACTAGCAAAGAGTTCCAATTCTGAAACTAGGCAGATTTCAGTTGGCACATACATTAACAAGTAGACAAATCCATGAAAGTTTCTATGATGGCTGGATCTGCCCCGGCAGATTTTTTTTTTCACTAGATCCAATGAAATGCAGTGATATGTGTTCTGAACTTCAAGTCACGAGAGACCTTGGTTTGGTTACTTGTTGGATTCCCATTCTCACATTCACTAACTTTGATAATCATGTACAGGTTGCTAATCTCCCTACACCTTCCTCTGTAAAATGGGAATAATTTTTATCAGTTAGCTCAAGCAGTTATTATGAGGAAAGAGCATTAGCTTTAATTTAGGTATTCTTAACCTAGGATCTGTTAGCTTTTCAAAAAAAAATTTTTTTTAATAACTTTTCAATATAATTGATTTCTTTTGTAATTTTACATATTTTTTTTTGCATTTTAAAAGATTGTAAGAAATGGTTCATAGGTTTCATCAGCTTGCCAAAAAAAATACATGACAAAAAAAAAAGGTTAAGAAACATTGCTATACGTGCTACTTAAATGTGAACTGATTGTTAATGCAACTGCCAGTTTCAGATAAGATACAGGTGGTATAATGGGAAAATATTTAATTTTTGTAGTACTTTTGCCACTTAATATCTATGTCACCTTGGGCAAATCACTTTACTGCTTTGGGTCTCAGTTTCTTCATGTGCAAAATGAGGGGGTTAGATGGGATGGCCTCTGAAATCCCTTTCATCTCTAAACTCTTGCCTATCTAGTATCAATATCCTTGTCTCTAAAACGAAGGGGCTAGATCAAATGACTTCTAAAGACCTTTCCAGTGCTAGATATCTGACCCTCTAGGGAGCTTCAAGTCCTTGTCTTTTCTTTACTCTCAGGGGTCATAGACTAGAGATGGGGAAGGTAAAAGAAAGGGAATAAGCATTGAGATAGCACCTACTAAGTGCCAGGTACTAAGCACTTTTACAATATTATCCTATTTGTTCCTTTGGGATGCAGCTGCTTTTAACCCGAATTGTTTTCACAAACTGACTCAGCAAGTAAATCTCACCCCATCCTACCTTTCCACTGAAAGGAATTAGACTAGAGTAGGGCCTATGTGAGAATGCAAGAGTTGTGATTCCAAGTGCTAAGTCCAGAGCCTGAGAACTCTCTTCCTTGTTTTGGAAAGATGTCTCCAGACACGGCCTGTGATGTGTGGTTTCTTTGCAATATGCTTTTTGAAAGGGCTTTTGATCTGTGGCAGGGTGCTTTCAAATGGGCTGGTGAACTCAATGGACTGGAATGGATTCTTTCCTTTTGGTGTTTATACCCTCAAGAATAACACCAAAGGCCACGCTTTGGCGGGCTGTGCTTGATGAATGATGTGTTTTTCCCCATCTTATTATCTTCTTGCATTGAAAACATTTCCAGTAAAAATCTTGTTTAGGAACCGCATGAAACTGACACACAGCATATGCATTCTCAGATTTATTTGCTTACTGTAAAGTGATTCTCTATTACCATGTTGTACCCTTTTAAAAGCTGGTGAAGTAGAAAAGCTTTTACCATTTGGTGGTTAGCCATTTTACATTACTACTTTATAGAGTCATATCATAATTTGTCAAATGCCCCTTTATAATTATTAGTGAATCCTAAACGACTTGAGTTCATTCCATGACACCTTGTACAGCACTGAAACGGAATTTTTGTTTTTCATGCAAGTTGCCTGCAATAGAGACTGATTGGCATACTAATTGTTTTTTTCCTATAATTTAAGTTTATTGTTTATTGCTTTTAGATGGTTAACTTGCAGACATTTGTCTACTAATGGTGCAGTAGGTATTGTTTTTCAAAAGAAAATTTGTTTTAATTGTATCAGGCTAGAAATTTGCCTTTGCATTTTATATTAACAACCTCAAAGTCTAAGGTGAAAGCTTCTTGGGAGTCTGGAATGCCGTAAAGATCTTGTGATATTTTTAGCATGGCATGTGGACAGCTGGGTTATAACTCCCATTACCAATAATGGGATTTGTACATCCAAATCCCAATGCACCCTGCTAAAGACTTACCCCCAGATGTTCCGATTAACACAGAGTGTATTATTCAAGTGTTAGTAAGCAGGGCTCTTGCTTCCAAATGCTTCAGGTCAGTCAATTCCATGGAAGGCTTTGGAATGTTAATTGACCTTTGGATTACACTTATTGGAGCTTCTTCCCCATGAAACACACTCAGAAAAAAAGCAAAATTGAAATAGTAATATGGTTATGATGTAAGTGAATGGGAGCCAAGGAGTTCTAGAATGAAGACCATGCATTGTTATTTTCTGATTCACTTGTGGGCAGGGGAAAGGGTAAGGAGGGGGACAGGAATTTAAGGAGAATTCTCCATGATAACTCTCTATTTACTGGGGACCATTCATCCCAAGAAGTTCTATGTGGAGGGAGGCTGAGGAGGAGTTCTTGATTTCTTAGGCTTACTGAAGTCATTCTTCATTTTCAAAGGTTTTTAAAGGAAAAGAATTCAAAAATTCCATTACAGTCAAAGATGGTTCTACTGAGGCTGCTGTTAAACAGTAATGTATTCCTGGAGGAGAAAAGTCAGTGTGCGCTTTCCCCATAATAGGCCAGTCCTTTTCGTTCAGGGCTCACAGCATGACCTTTTCTTCTTGTGTCCTTGGGCACCACCATATTGTGGTTTGACTTCTACCACCCTGTCTTTCAATGTCTCCCAGCAGCAGAAAGCCTTTGAACCACTGGTGTTTCTCAAGGTTGCTCTGTCAAGCTGTGTACCCTACCATATGCCAGGCAAGTTTTTTTGTGTGGTAAAAGCTGCCTTAATGAGGAGCCCAGTGCCAAAGTGAAGCAGTAAGATTCCATATTCACCAATAGGGCCCAGGTAGTAGATTTTCTGTTATTAAACAGTCTCTAAAACATGTATCACTCTAGAAATGAAGCACATTTAAAAAATGTGAGTTGTAAATCAAATATGTCTGTAAAGCAAATTATGTTTTCCCATTGATTCCCATTGTAATGTGAGAGATGTGTTCCCATTTTTTCTTGCTGTTCTTTAGAGTAGAGTGCTTCCTGCCTGTTGCCATGGGGAT